GAACGTGCCCCGACCGGGCGCGAACCCGCGCGTACCTGGGCTGAGCCCCTCGCGCTAGTCTGCCTTCGGGGCCTTGCGGCGTCGGCTCTGTGGTCTCCGAGAGCCTCGGGCCCTCGGTCTTCGGTTCGGGTCTCGGCGAGAGAATTGTGTGTTTTGGTCCAGGAGCCGCTCGCGGAGACACCTGGATTCACAGGCGTCACCTGACTGCAGCCCCGTGCCAGCCTTGCGGCCCTGGACAACATTGGCGGGGTGACAACTTGTCGCTCCGTTAGGCTCAGTTCGAAACCCGGCCCAGAGGAGATACTGGGAGTCTCCAAAGTACCATGTGCGGGACGTAGAGACATCGCAGCGGTGCTGTGATTAAATGCTTTTGGAACTTTCTTTGGAGCTTGTGTGTATATGTCTGTGGTAAGGAATCAGAACCATAGCAACCAGAAGGCCCTTTTCCACCTGTTTCTTCCCCTGAACTGCACCGAGAACATCTAACAAAATCAGGGCCGGTTCATCCATCAAGCAGTGTTGCAGGCGACTATACTTTGAAGGTCTGCCAGAGTTTTTACAGTCAGCAGGAGAAAAATGAACTTAGGTGGAAGAAAATGTATGAGTATTAATATAATCACGTTTAAGCTAATGCAGTGGAAAGTATGATTTAATGTTTTACAATGTGAAAAGTTTCCTATGAAAGTAGAAGTGCCCAGGACCATCTGTGAGTGACCTCAAGGCTGAGTGTGGCAGCACGGAGGTGTTCGCCCGTCGGGGGCAGCCTGGTCGGGCTCCCACCCTGCACGCTCCACCCTCTCTACTTTGTGCCGTTGTCCTCTGGCTCCTCGGTAATGTCTGCCTGGTGGGCGGCACATTGAACTTGGGTAGACTGATGATCCCCTGGGCTCTGTTACTCTGGTTGGTTGCTCGAAGTTTGACTTCTTTAGCATGGCACTAGTTGCGGAGTGGCTTTGGTTGGAGCAGAAAAGGGATCACCTGTGGAGGGGGTATCATTTAGACTCTTGGCATCATAGTAAGTTTTTGAGTTTTTATGGTTTAAATTCATTGTAAACATGCATGTACCTGTAGGGAGGTGAAATGTCTTTTTGGAGTTCCTGAGTCCCAGTTTTGCAGATGAGGTCGCTGGACCCAGCAACACATCAGCCTGTCTTCACAGAGATCACTGATTCCCTGATGCCTTTTTCCTTGTCAGTGTGTTTGCATATCTTGCCAGCTGGCTAGAACAGTTCACGTAGTATGTGCCAGTACTCCTGCTGCTTGCCCATCACTAGGGGTGTTCAGGTGCAGAGAACACACCCATCCGAGGCAGTGTGGGGTGTGGAAGCAGCAGCTGGGTTAGTCAGAGCACTTCTAGGTGAGTACTCCTGAGTGGGAGGCCCAGAGGCAGGTAGCAGAGGTGGCCATCTGTACCTGTGAAGCAGGGGAGGGCCTCACAGACCTCATGCTTCTGTCTGAGTTGGAGTGGGGGTGGCTCCGGAAAAAGGAGCAGAGTTACTTTTAACTCCTTGGTTCTGCAGATCAGAACTTAGCAGCAGCCCAGTTGGTGTCTTGAGTTCCCCGCAAAATCTAGAGGGCTCCCTTAGTCCCTGACTTTGGTTGGCCGGCAAGGGCACATCTCACTCTGAGTCAGTTTAAGTTGTGTGCTGCTGCTGCTGTTGCTGTGTGTGTGTGTGTGTGTGTGTGTGTGTGTGTGTGTGTGTGTTTGCACACTTCACCCTGTGAGCATCCTGAGAGTGCCAGGAATAGGCATTTTTGGCCTTTAGCAGGTAGGGTCTTCTCTGGTCTTGGGCTGTATTCTTTCTGTTCAGGCCCTGACTTTGAACCATATTCAGGTATGAGGAGGGTACTAGAAAGAACTCAGCTTTTGGGAGGGAGGGCCCTGAGGTTAGGGCCAAGCCACTTTGGTTTTTTTTTTGGTTGCGGGGGTACGCTGTGCGAACTCAGGACCTTGTGCTTGCAAGGCAGGTGCAGTGCTGCTGAGCTAAATCCTGGCCCTCACTTTGGTTCTTCTGTTGGAGGGCCTTCTACAGACTTGAGGGTAGAGCAGCATGTTCATGTGACTTTTCATCTTTTTTTATTTTTATTTTTTGGTACCAGGGATTTTTATGCTTGTGAGGCAGGCTGCAGCACCACTGAGCTAAATCCCCAGTGATTTTTTTTTTAATGGTAATGAGGATTGAACCCTGGGCTTTCACACTTAGCTATAACCCCAACAATTTCTATTTACTTAATTATTGAATATATGAGACAGATTTTCACTAAGTTGCTCAGGCTAGGCCTGAATTTGCAACCCTCTTGCTGAGCCTTCCAGAGTGCTGGGATTACAGGTGTGCATCACCATTCCCAGGTTCACCAGTTTCTTTTAAAGTGCACCTTTGATCTTTGTTGACTGAGGTTGTGTTTATCTGTCAGGAACTTTTTTTTTTTAAGTAGGAAAATTTATTGGGGAATAGAATGTTTGAGCGACAGGAGGGTTCCCAAATGGATTGCCTGGGTTCTGTACCCCCACCCCCACCCCCTATTCCTCTTCCTCTCTTCTTCCTCCTCCTCCTGTCCCCACCCCTTTCAGGCTGGCCTGTAACTTTGGCAATCCTCTTGCCTCAGCTTCCTGAGGGCTGGGATCATCACCATACCTGGCTTTATTTATTTATATATTTATTTATCTTTGGCACCGGCATTGAACTCAGGACCTGCTGAGCTACATCTCTGACACAACCCCACTTTTTTTTCCCTCCCACCTTTTTTTAATTGGTACTGGGAATGGAACCTGGGTCCTTGTGCTTGGCTTGGGAGTCAAGCAGTGGTATCACTGAGCTAAATCCCTGGCCCTCCCACCTTTGAGACATGGTTTCCCTATGTATTATAGGCTGGCCTTGAATTTACTACTGTGTAGCCCAGGCTGGTCCTGAACTTTTTTTTTTTTTTTTTTTTTTTTTTTTTTTTTTTGATATGGGGGATCGAACTTGGGTCCTTGCAATTGCTTTCGAGGTAGGTGACAGAACCACTGAGCTAAATTCCCCGCCCTGGTCTTGAACTTGTAATGATCTTCTTCCCTCAGCCTCCTGAGAGCTAGGATTATAGGCTTTTGCCACTATGCTTGGCATGAAGTGGTTTATAGTTTATTTAAGGTGGTGCTTGATTTTTAGCTCTGTTTTAGATAGGGGAATTTAGAAAGGTGAATGGCTCAAGTAAGGTTTTTATTCTAGGATCCTGGTTTGTCTTGTCATTATGTACCCTTAGTTGGGTCCCTGTCCACTTTAGCTGTGTACATCCAGGCCTCTGGAGAATCTCACGGTAGTGCTGTGAATTTTTTTTTTTTTTTTGGTCTTACTAGGGATTGAACCCAGGGAATGCTGAGCTCCATCTCAAGGCCTTTTAAGAACAATTTGAGACAGAGTCTTTGCTAAATTGGCTTTGAATTTGGCAATCTACCTGCCATCAGCCTCTTGAGCAGCTGAGATTGCAGTTGTTTTCTAGCCACAATGGGCTAAACAGTTTCCTTAACCCCAGCTGTGGAGCCTCGGGCTGCCTGCATCCCCTGATGGTTCCTACAGGTCCTCCAGATTGGGGGCTGAATCTTTTCATTCTGAGTATTTTGGTCTGAGGAGCACAGTCCCTCCCCCTTTATTTGGTTGGCCGCAGTGACCACTGATGATGCATGTATGGTCTTGAGTATGTGGGAGAAAGTTCGTGCTTCTGCTGAACTTAACTGCAGCTGTGACCTGAGCAGCCTTTGGGAGGCCCTATGATGTTGTCTCAGTGGGCCTTTTCCCACTTGTGCAGGAATGCAGCATCAGTGGTTTATTCTAAAGCTTTTTCTCAGTTTAATTGGGGAAAAAAATTATGCCATGGTTTCAGGCACAGCTCCCTCCTGGGTGACCTAACCACACATACCTGAGAAAACTTGCCTTCTGAGAAAGGCTGCAGTCCAAGGAGCCCTGTCCCTCCCCGTCCATTGCTAACTTGTGCTCAGCCATGCCTCCTGGGGTGGTAGCAAGATGGCGGCTGTCGTCCTTGTAGTGCTAGCAAACACACAGCTAGTTAGCAGCATAGTTGGGGTTTAAGAGGAGAGCTGATTCCTAGTAAGAGTTCTTGTCTCTGGAATCCAGAATTTTCTTTCATATGGAGTAGCACAGGAATTGAATTGGAAAAGGGTGTGTGTATGTATATATATGTGTGTGTGTGTTTATATAGCAAGATGGCGGCTGTCGTCCTTGTAGTGCTAGCAAACACACAGCTAGTTAGCAGCATAGTTGGGGTTTAAGAGGAGAGCTGATTCCTAGTAAGAGTTCTTGTCTCTGGAATCCAGAATTTTCTTTCATATGGAGTAGCACAGGAATTGAATTGGAAAAGGGTGTGTGTATGTATATATATGTGTGTGTGTGTTTATATATATATATAATGAGTTAATTTCATTCTTATTGGTTGGAAAGTGGTGTAGCAAGCTTTTTAACTTCACTAGCTAGTGAGTTATCTTTTATTAAAAAAAAAAACAAAAAAAACCTTCGGGGATTTGACTCAGTGGTTCCACCACCTGCCTGGCAAGTTGCAATGGCCTGTGTTCGATCCCTGGTACCAAAAAAAAAAACAAAAAAAAAAAAAAAAAAAACCCCTTGCATTTGGAAATACTTTCAAACTTATAGAAAAGTGGCAAGAATAAAATTTGTGCAAAAACACCTACATATCCTTTACTTAGACTGCTGCTGTTAGCATTTGACTTTATTTGCCCTGTTTTCGCTTTTATGTGTGTACATACAAGGGGAGATCGAAATATACAGTGAATGTTTAAATTTT